GCTTACTTCTTGCAATAAGTCTCTTAGTATGTGTTGGGGCCCACCCTGCCTGGTCTCAGGAATCTCAGGAAGCTGTAACCCCCCGTGACTTAGGCTAAGTGAGAGACCTCCGAACCAGGAGCCACTAAGGAGACAAAACTTATTTCCCTGGCATGAATGCTGCCTGTTCTGTGCCTGGCCTCCTATGCTTGATAAGTTAGCCAGTGACAGGTAAGATTTCCCACGAGGGGAATCGCCTAAGACAGGCATGATCACGAAGAGGCCTCAGGGAGGATACTTGGGGCTGTGGAAATGAAGGGGTGATGGACATTGACCCCTGTCCCCTTGGCTTTGTCAAAGCCTGAGTCCTTGTTCTTAGTTGTGAGAAATCCAAGTCTCCTGGCTGCTTTTGCCTCCTCTGCCTGACTCAGGCCTGCGGAAATAACAGGGGTGGTGCAGTCCAGACCAGTGTCGGTGGACCCCCGGGGTAATCAGGCCTGGGACATAGAATATGCAAGATCCTGTGAGATCTGTTTGCTGGAGGATGCTATTGAATTAGAATATGAAGGCATGGGCAGGAAACAGGACTAGCCTTTTAGGTCCTGTAGTCCTTTTAAGTGATATAACACAAACTCTCAGCCCAGAATCCCAGCGGGAGTTCTGTCAGACCCTTTGAAAATTACCTATCCCTTTTGATCTTCCCTGCCAGACTGTAATCCACAACCTGTGTCTGTATTCTTAATAAAAGCCTGCTTGGGTGGAAAATGGGGCGCTCCCCACTAGAGAGAGTGGCCGTTTCATCCCTATTTCCCCACAGGACTCGGTTGTCCCTGTGTATGTTTTTCTCGTGTTTCGACGAGCATCCGCAGCAGGGATGGATACTGCTGGCCAGTATCCTCCACAGGTATGTATCTCCATCTGTTTGTTCTGTCTCTCTGGCTGGACCCTGATTGATAAAGGTCCTGATAAATAAACATAAAAAAATTACACAAGATCCCTGTGGAAAAATGATGAAATACTATTGAAAGATCTCAAAGGCAATATGAATAAATGGGGATTTATGCCATGTTCATGATTTAGAAGACTCAGTATTGTAAATTTGGTTAATCTTCCTCAAGTTCACCCACTGAGGCATTCCAGTCAGAAGACTGACAGAAGACTGCAAGTTTTTCATGGTGCTTGCCAAGAAGTTCCAAACTTTACATGGAAGAGCAAAGGACTATGAATAGCAAAGGCAATTCTGAAGAAGAATAAAGTGAGGAGACTTTCCATATTGGATATTACTCAGTTTAAAGTTACACAGTTAAGACAGTGTAGAATTCCTGCGGAGACACCAAGCAGACCAATGCAACTGAAGACCGAGTCCAGGAACAGACTCATGAAGCCCTGGAAATTGGATATATGACAGAAATAACGTTTCAAATCAATGGTCAAAGAATGGCCGACTCCCTAAAGAGTACAGGGACAAGGGATTAGTCAAATGGACAGAAAGTAAAATTAGATTCCAACTTCACACCTGCACACAAATGAATTTCAGATCGATTAAGACCTAAATGTGGAAAGGTAAATATTACAAATTTTAGAAATAAAGAATATTCTTATGAACTTGGAGAAGATAAAAATTAGTCAGCATACAAGAAACACACAACATAAAGATTAAGACTGAGAAATCTGACATTAAAACGGGAAATCTGTGTGCACACACACACATCACACACACGTGCCAAACGAGAAAGGAAACCATGGGTGAAGAGATTTGCAACACATATTACCAACAAAAGACCAGGTTTAAGATATGTAAAGAACTCTTACAAATCACAAAGAAAAAGACAATAGAAAATGGGCAAAGGGCTAGAAAAGGTAAAGGGAATAAGTTTGTGACAAACTGTCTAATACCAAAAACAACACAATGAAACCACCAGGGCAGAACTGCCTTCTTTATCTCTCATCAGCAGTCTTTATGCTCGCCTTCCCCTCCTCTCCATTCACTCATTCAGCATGCATTCAACACACGCTTATCGATCACCTGTGATGTGCCACGTACTGTGGTAGACACTTGCATTCATTAGTGAAGACAACAGACAGAGATCCCTGCTTCTGTGAAGATTATATTCTAGCACTGGGGATGGGGAGAGGGCAGGGAGGAACTGAAGAAAATACACAATGGAAATAGTGATAAGTACATTGCTTGCTGTGTTTGATGAAAAGTGTTCTGGGGGAAAAAGACAGTGAACAGTCAGGGCAATCGGGAGTGCTGGGGTGAGGGTTGCCGTTGTCAGTGGGTTGTCAGGATAAGCCTTTCCAGGGAAGGTAGATTTGAGCAAATATTTGGAGATGAGGGAGTCATCTGAGATCACCTGAGGAAACACCGTGTGTTGTGGGGAACATCTCTACCTTAGGCTGGACCTGAGATGGCTGATTAAGAAGGTGAATGAGGCCAGAAGGGATAGTGATGGTCAACTCTTCGACTGGGACAGGCACATTTACATCAGAGTTCCCTGGAGGAGGCTCAGATTTTAGCAGCTCCAAGTTGGAGAGAACCCTGGTTCATGACCTGCTGTTTACTTGAGGAGTAGATGTTCAGCAAGTACAGAGTGCCAAACACACAACTCAAGTTATTTAAAGTGCAATTAGACTCAGTTTAATAATTTAAAATACTTTAACATTTTTCTCTGGCAGAGATTAGGCTATTCATTAGCATGTCATGGGAACCCAGCATTTATTATTCTCTCAAAAAACCCGTTTGCAATGGAAAATGTGCTGAGCCTCATTTGCAAAGATAATTATAGTTGATATCCTTCAGATATCTGCCAAGTTCCCGGTGATTTCCCTCTTCTCGGGAAGCTGCTTTCAGAATCTAATGTGGAAGGCTTTTCTGCCCACATTTCTACTGCATGAGCACATTCTCTGGTCACAGCTCATTGGACCAAAACCAGAATCATGAGCATAGCTGAGCCAATAAGATTTCTTCTCCCAGGAATTTGGAATTGAAGCCAACAGAGCCAGGCCATTCTGTTTGACTGGAACTCTAAGATGCAAATTAATAGTCATATTTCACTATTGGTCTTGAGGGGCAGAAAAGTTGATTTGCAGGGAGAGAGTAAAGCAAATGCATAGAGAAAAGCTTAGGGGAGACACATAGAGAGTTCTGCCTTTCAAGTTCCAGGGCACAGCCCTTCCCTCAAGTTCAGGGGCCTCCCAGCTCTTGGATTCAACAAAACACTCCTCTATCCTTGTAATTCATCACATTGGTTGTTTTGGCTAGTCAATTGGACTCCCAACACAGTGATGCTATAGGTCTGTAGTATGGAGTGTGCTTTGATGTTGTAATTCATACCTCTGTTCATTCAGTCACAAAATTTTGTGGGGTGCATATTAGGGTGTTAGTGAATAAATATATAAGACTGAATAAAACATATTCTTTGCACTCAAATAATTTGTTTGTCTTGATTCTTCTTTTTTAAGGTGGTTGGTTAAGTTGTGGGGGTGTAGTCTGTGAAACACCAGAGTTCTCTTTGAGCTTGATGGACTCTTTTAACTTATTTAGGGTTGGTAGATATAAAAAGTACTTTGTGTACTATAAACTGCTACACATTTACTTTTCACTGGTTATAGTAATATCTTCTATGTGAGATATTCAACTTACAGTCTCCACAGTAACATATGTTAAACATACTCCTTTGAAAGGATATATTTGATTTAGGAATAAAACATAAGTTTTTAAATTGTTCAATTTAGATAGAGATATGCTCAAAAAATTAAAATCACTTTATTTTCATTAAACAATATTTTGAGGTTTCTGATATTTTGGGAAAAGGTGCTTTTTGTGATTAAAGGATATAGTTACAGCAATAATAATAATTGTGAGCTTCTAGAGAAAACAGGTAAAGTAAAAACCAACTGAAACAAAAATAATGCCTCACTATGGACTCAGATACACCCAGGATTGGTCTAGTCATCTGGGTGAACTACGTAGCAGGTGGGATTTGGCTCCAGTTTTTGAAATGTCAGTGACAGATCCTGCTCATAAGAGAGGCCCCAGCCTTCCTTTTAGCTGATGCTTATTTTCAAGGACCCACTCATATTTCTTTCCCCTTCTAGGATAAGACTTCTTAGAATTTGCAGTTCTCTAGAGAAAATGCATTAAATATTTATTAAGGTGAGTGCATTTAAAATTCTTGCTCTGCTGCCTTGCAATCTAATGTCCTCAATTTCAACAACCAGTGAACACATAGAACAAGGAAAGGTTAGGGACAGAGGGCCGTAGAGAACATCTTTGCCCAGTTAAGAGCACGGGCTTTGGAGAACTGGCCAATATCTGGCCTCTGTTGTCCTTGTTTACTCTCTGAACCACATGGAGAAAGCCAAGATAATACATCCTTTCTCACAGAGGGGTATAAGGATTAAGGGAATGACATAGATCAAGTTGACTGGAGTGTATCTGACCTGTAATAGGCGGTAATTAAAAAGTAGTAGCTGTTGCTATTGTTTATTACAAGTGATTTCCCCATAGTCATCCAACTAATCAGTGCAAGATTCAGATCCTTTGAATCACATCATGGCTATGTCTTTTTTACTATAGTATACTTCCTTCTTTTGTTGGCTGCCTTAAAAGTGAAATCATTACACAAGGAAACTTAAAGAAAGATGGTCTCGCCCTGGCTGGTGAGGCTCAGTGGATTGAGTGCTGGCCAGTGAACCAAAGGGTCACTGGTTTGATTCCCAATCAGGGCACATGCCCGGGCTGCAGTCCAGGTCCCCGGTAGGGGAGCCTGCAAGAGGCAGCAACACATTGATGTTTCTCTCTCTGTCCTTTCCCCTCTCTAAAAATAATAAATAAAATCTTTTTAAAAATTCACAGATTAAAAAAAAGAAAGATGGTTTTTGCATTGGCAACATTCTCTTTAACATTATTCTCACTCTCATTTGCTTGGTCCTTGTCAGTGCCCATCTTCTATGATTATAATTAAAAAGGGATGTTACCATTAAATTCCTTATGAAGCCCTTTAAATTCATCTTACTTGAAGTCTTCGGGGTGGATGCCTTTTAATAATACTTGTTTCTGTCCGTTCCAGTGGGATGTCAAAATACAGGGCCCTGGGCACTTGAAGGATTGGGGGAGAAGCAAAAAAAAAAAAAGACCATTAGAAACAATTTACTATTAAAGCAGGCTGGTCATGACTTTTAGACTTTGTTAGCACAATTTTGCACCTTCTTTGTTAAATGTCTGTAACCTATGGGTGGAACATGGAGATGAAACGTATCAAGTGGGAGCCCTATGTGAATGCCAATGACAAAATATTAGCCCAGATGCAGGATTGAATCTCTCCTTTCCTCACTTTCTCCCCAGACTGATATTTAGAGGAAGAGCTGCACAATGAAAAATGTATTGATGACAAAGTTTTTGTTTTTCAAAGTTTTTGAATTTGGCATATAAAATAGAAACTTATTGGTTTATTTTAATGTTATGAAATTGCCCCAACATAATACAGTAAATTGGGAAAATACAGCATTAAGAAATGAAAATAATCCCTTTCTAGATGGAATAGATAGATAGATAGAAAGGATAGACAGAGAAGTGATAAAGAAATGGAGCATGAGCGTGAAATAAGCCAGGCGGTGAAAGACAAATACCATATGATCTCACCTTTAACAGGAACCTAATCAACAAACAAACAAGCAAAATATAACCAAAGATACTGAAAGAGAGAACAGGCTGACAATGACCAGAGGGTAAAGGGGAGGGAATTTCAGGGGAAAAGGGGAAGGGTTTACAGGAACAAGTATAAAGGACACATGGACAAAAACTAGAGGGGGTGGAAATGGGAAGGAAGTGGGGAGGGATGGGGGGGTGGGCTGAGATGGGAGTAAAAGACAGAAAACTGTACTTGAACAACAATTAAAATAAAAAATTAAAATAATGAACAAGGGGGTGATAAATAGATTATTTTGAAAAATTGTTACTCTTAGCTGCAGGGGGCTGAGATTAGGGATGAGCATATAAAATGTTTCAGTGATACTTTGTACTGTGCTGTTTCTTAAGGTGCATAACAAATAACCATCTTACGTCTTTGTTAAGTGTGCATATATAAAATAATAAATAATCTGTATAAAATAAAATTAATTCAATTGATACTTAAAAAAAGAAATGGAGCATGAGTGTGTCATAGGAGTATGCAATGCTGAGTGTGGTATGTTCCTAGTTAAATAGTCTCCCTAACCGGGGAAAGCCATTCTCACAAGTTGCCACTATAATACAACATGTCAATATTCTCTCCTGATAAAATAATGCAAGGCTAAGCCGTGTTAGGAAACAGAGAGGCTCAAGAGATCCATTATGAATTTGATTTTTCAGCTTGATTATCCTGGGCCCTGGGACTACTACCATGACCAAGCAGTGCATGAATGAAGTTCTTAGTCAATTGCACTTCCAATACAGTGAGTTCTTGCCTCTCAACAAGCTGGAAGCATTCTGATTTCTAGATTCTTGTGTAGACTATCCTACAGTTCCACTTTGCATTTGCAATGGAAAAATTCCAAGGTAACGATGTGTTTCTCTCCTTAAGACATTTGAATGATCACCTTAAGAACTTTGCTATGTCCTTCTTTTCTTTTGAGAGATGCCAGCATAGTGAGCAAAACAGAAATGACAGCAATGGCAATGAAAAACATGTGGGATTTAAAAATCTAAATAGTTTTAACAGAATTTTTTCCAGTAGCCTGAGTACTCTGTAACTGTGTACTATGATTTTAGTGATATCACCCCATTATTTGATTCTCCTGAAATGACACAGGCAATGTCAGGTAGTTATTTTCACCCCTGGTTTATAGTTGAAGGAAACTGAGGACGTAAATTGCCCAAAGTCATACCATTTGCTATTTGGTGGAGATGGGTTTAGAATATTGGCCCCTGAAAATTGTGGTCAAAATTATTTTTAATGTGATTTTCGCTTCAAAGCTAAGAACATTTCCCAGTTGGGACTCAAATCCATTAGAATCAGCTTTTACCATTCAGTTACCAAAATCATAACACTCTGGATAAAGGGTTTACATTAAAAAAGAAAAAAAAAGAATTCTTCAGTAAAATTAAGAGGAAAATTCCCACTCATGTCCTTAGAAAGTTGAAGAACATAAAAACACAGGTTATAGAACCAGTCAAAAGTTGTCAGTTACAGAAAGTAGCCATTCTAGGTGAGATTTCCTAGTTACTGAAATAGAATAGAAGGCTTCTGGCCAAGCTGACCAATGATGGGAGCTTATTTGTGTCATTGATCCAGAATGTGAAGAAAAGAGAAAATTACATACATCTGTAGGTACATTTACATTGTGTCTGCATACTACTCTTCCCAAGTTAGAATGTCTGTTTAATTACCATTTTGGTTGTCATAAGCACTTTACATGTAAAATATCCCAGGATAATTTACAGCCACTTCAGGCTCAGAGCTTTCTATCATAACTGGAAAAAATTCTCATAGTTCTTCAAATAACTATGAAAAATGTGGGGCTGGAGAGCGGGTGACTCACCCACTCATCTGCACTGCGATAAATCAATTCTGTTTGGGGCGCTTTCCAAGTGCACTTAGAATGAACTCCTACAGTGTGGCTTTCACAACAACAAAGCCTGATGCATCACCCAGTACTGGAGAGAACGATCTAAATTTAGACTCTAACTGAAACATGTGATCATTACAATGTATCACACCTTTATCTAAATAATTTTAATTGTCTGGCAAAGCTATATATAAACCTTGAAAGCAGCATAAACTAAGCCGAAACAAAATGATTTCTTTCTTCTCACATGAAATGCTGAGAAGCCCTTTATGCAGTTTACATACTCACATAATGCACCCAGGATATTTACAGCTGACAAACCTTCAATCTCCCATCGAAAGGTATTCCCTTGTATTTCAATACTTTAGGGATTTTCTGAGATTACAGGGCAAGACAGGTAAATCTATCCATAGCTCTCTTGACACAAATACACAAATCTCACGCTGGGTTTTAGGTTTACCTGCAGAGTACCTCCCATACCAGGTCTCTCGCAGCGGTGGCAGCGGCCCATCCAAAGCTGGGTTCCGGTCCTGCCGTCTCGCCAAGGAATCTGCACTCTTCTCGTCCAGGTTCTGATGGAATGCTAAGTCCACAGGTGCAGTCGAAGGCGTTTCTTCCTCTTTGTTTTGCAAAGGGGCTACTTTGGTCACTCTGGGGTGAGCCTTCGAGGGGCTCAGGCCCATTTTACATGAAAGACCAAGAAGGAAGTGGTGTGGGGCCTTCAGTGTAGGTTGTTTTAATCAAAGTATTTCAAAAGTTTACCCACCCCTGCTTCACAAAGCAGTTGTTTCCTTCCTGACATCTTTGTGGGTCTGCTTCACCACACACTAGCCCCTCTGGCCACTTCCTGGGAGGCTGGTTTCCATGGAGACTTCCCTTCAACTCCCACTTTGCCATGTCAGACTGAGAGAATCCAGTTAAACATTGACTTGGTTATGCTGCTCTCTGGAAGACTCAGTGGTAGGAATAGGAACCTCTATTGATCATTAAACAAATTTCTAACACCAGGAAGGCCATTAAGGGTGACGGAGAGCAGAGGTTTAGAGAAGTCTTAAATTTGACCCTTTCATTGCACGTACCTTGAAACTCCATCTATAGCAAAACTACCCATTAAGAATAGTTAAATCACCATTGGGCATGCGGGGTTGCATGCTAACCATTTAGGGTTTTGTTAATCTTTCATTTTAATTGAAAAATTTATCTTCAAACAGGTAAGAAAACAGCAGACCAGTTAAAATAATTTGTTTTTTCTGTCAATGGCCTGAATTGCTTTTGAAGGAGATAAATACATTACAGGAGCATAGGGAGATAACAGGAATTTTTCCTAAGGACGAGAGGACAAACTTCTTGAATAAATGGTTTGAGTAAACCTTGAGTTTTAAAAAATAGCCTGTTTACTATGTTTTTAAAAATAGGGCAGGGGCAGGGGGAAGCACTTGAAAAAATGTGCTAAAATATTGAGTGGGGGGTTTTGAATGATGGAATTATGGGTGATCATGATTTTATTTTTTATACTTAGAAACATAACTCACTTTCAAGTTCTAAGTGTTCATGGCCATAGATGACATGTTTTCATCACATCCCTGAAATGGAAGTTCAAATAACTTTTTTTTTTCATTTCTGAAAGTTTGTTTGCTAAGAGGCTAACATGGGTTTGGAAAATCTTGATAACCAATAGAGTTCATCTGAAAAGATGTTAGAGTTTACTTCTTTCTCATTTAACTCCCTTTTCCATTTACAACATTGTTATCTGTGGCAAAGAGACTTATAAGAAAGAATCATATATTAACAGCATTTGAACAATATTTAGTCAGATATATTTTTGGGTACAATCAGTTTATGTGTTTCTAAGGTCAAGGGAAAGCATTGCAAACCAACAGGTGAACGAGGAGTGATACGGGAAACTGTGGACTTCGTGGGTCTCCACCAGTGAGAAGAAGTCAGCTTTCATTTTTTGCTTTACTGTTGTCTAATTTTGAGAGAATGTATGTGGGGAGAGTATCAGCCTGTGCAGAGGAAGTCAGTTAGTTGTAGAGGAAATTATTTTTAAAATGGAGATTCACATTATGTTCATTCCCCTTTTTATTATTAGCCACTGCCACACTTTGTAACTTGCAAAGACTTAACTATTCTGTTCTTCAATTTCCTCATCTGTATAATGGGGTTAACACCAATGTAAGGCAACAAATTGATTCCATTTATAGCTCTTAGAATAATACGTGACATACAATAAGCTCAGAGTAAACTTTGGCCATCATTGTCCTCCTGAGGGGCTATTGCTGCATGTCTACATGTGATGGGATAGTCCCTGTTACCCACTGGTCAGAGCCATTAAGTTAGACATATTCTGTACAAAAGAGTTTACACCTAAGTATCGAAAAGACCAGTGAAGAAAGGGTAAATTAGTTGGGTCTATTTAACAACAGCACTTACGGACTAGCATTTAAAAAGTGCTCACGCGTTGAAAAAATTTTTATCAAAATAACGATAAAAAAATAATTCCAAGTTGGCTAAAAGAGGGAAAGGAAAACTTGATGTCACCTACAGAGCTATATATAAGATATAATTTCTTAACCACAACAGTTGAAAACATTAAAAAGCTCTCACTCAACATAATCTTGACTACTCAGATTACCTGTGATATTTCATAATGATCCGTTCCCAGTTCAAAATGGTTATGAATATGCATTATTGTGTGTAAAAGATGATAAAATCTGATGTTACTTGTAATTGTCAGAGTTCATGAATATGAACTAAAATATCAGTTTATGAGTTTCTTAAAATAAGGCAGTTTTAGAAGGGATTCATTTGGGTTTTCTAAAGTTGAGGGTCGTGCTCAGAGAAAACTTCATGAAGACACAGGACACAGATGAAGAGAAGTTGGTGGGGGAAGGGGTGGGAACTGATAGCCGTGTAAACTATTCCACAGATTAAGGGACAAAAGCCACCAATTTGCAGCAGCAGCACAGGCAACCTGACTGTGGAGTTCCCAAGGAATGTCCTTGCATAAGCTCTGAGTGCTCAGAGCTTTCTTGCCTTGTGCAGAGAACACCTTCCTTGTACACGTGGAGTGAGCCTAGCACCTTTCATCTCCCCTCCTAACCCTTCACTTTAGCCTTCCCATCCAAAGGGGAGGGGCCAAGCTACAAAGCTGCTCTCTCAACCAGAAATCTCCACCTTTGTTCTTGGTTCACTCCTCACTTGGGCAAAACTGATAAAGAAGCTTCTTTAATGGGTTTAAAGTCTATAGTAAACTCAATGCATGGTCACAGATGTGTGGATTTTTCTGCTCTCTGACAGGAGAAACTTTACCTTTGGATGATGGAGGGCTTTAAGTGTAGGTTTGGTATCAGAGGGTGATGAGGTGCCAGCAAAACGAAAGCACCTCCGCCACCCCGCCCTGTCTCCGGTGTGGAAACATTACTTGTCTTTGTTCATAGGCTTGTGATTTGATTAGCTATCGCTTTAGTGTTTTTTTGGACTTCGCAGCCTCATCCGCCCTCTCTGGATAAGGTACCTCTTGGAGGTAAGGAACCTGAGGGAAGAAAGGTAGATTTTTATGCCGGTGGCTCACCCAGCGCTGTGTGAATCAAACAGGTAATGACGGTGACTGCAGTAGCAGTAGCAGTGGCAGTAGGGTCTAAACAGCCACAGGCAATGTAGAGCCACACATATGCTCAATGGCTGTGTATGTTTATGAATACTAAATTTTAAAATGTAAACAAACTAATAATAGAGAAATGTTTTTTTAATGGGCCATGGATATGTACATTCAGATGTTTTATAGGAGGCAGGTGATGAATGTCCAGGTAATTTTCCTGAGGATAGGAAGGTGGTGCTCTGGAGTGAGGTTGGTTAAATTGCCTTCTGGTCCTTCAAGCATATGGTTTTCTTGAAAAGGGTTCAGAGAGAATTGAAAACAATGTGTGTAAGAATATTCCTTAGGGTTGGATTTAATTTCACACATGGGTTAATTACTATGCACTGACCATCCAGAAAGTGGGGTTTAAATCCTGTCTTTACAGGATTCTTAAATAATGCTCCTAAAAATGTTATAGCCTTTTCTGCAATTGACCTGAAATGGATAAGCCATCACTGGAGGCTGTTCAGCAATGGGAATTATGTGTTTGGATGCCAGCTAAGCAGAGTAGATGTATGACCAAACCTTATTTTCCTCCCAGTGATTATTTTCCTCTATCTTTGTCCATGCAATGGGTGGGAGGGGGACAGTGCCGCTAGAGCTTGCTTTGGAATTGCTGAAGCAAAACAAATGAAGAATAGTGAATTGAAGTGTCTTGTATAAACTGTTCAATGAGATCAGTTGAATTATCTCTTTACCCTTTAAAAGCAGTCTGCAAGTACATTATTGAATTAAATGCTAAAACCAAACTATCACATACCTGCTACTCTGAGGGCAGTCAGAGCACGAGTTTCTTAAAATGCATTACTGATGGGTTTAATTTAGGCCAAAGAGTTTTTCTGTATTTTATTTCTTATTGGGAGTACATCAACCTTTGGCTATAATGACCTAAGGTTTCCCTTTGACTTCGTTTCCTCTTTGATTCTGTTTATTCCCCATCAGATGTAACCCCATTCTCACTGCTCTGGCCTCTGTCTGACAGGTCCTTCCTTCTGTCCTTTCTTCTTTCTGTCCTTCCTGCAAGGTTACATTTTAACTGTTGTCCATAGATGTTTGTCTCAAGAATTTACACTGAAATTTAATCTTTAATATATGCTACCTGTGTGGTCTAAATAGTCATTCAGCACATAGGCCTAAATCAAATAATGTGCACTTTTTCCCAATGCAAAAGGCCTACTCTTACTGATACCCACTGAAACCAAATTTTGAGTCTCTCTTTTTTTTTCTTAATAGAAATTTAATTTTGGACCCAGAGGCGAACATGTGAACTTTAAAATTTTAAGATAGCATAAAAACAGGGTGGAGAGGAGTACAGTGAACTCCATGTCCCAAAGTTCAGGGTGGTCCAAGGTGGCCCAAGTGAAGCTTCGGTTGCTGTCACTGAACCAAGTGCCCGTCTGGCCCCCGCTAGTGCTGAGCTCAGAAACCCCAGTTCTCAGTGGGTATAAGTTGCATCCACTCTGGGGACTGCTCAAATCAGGATTTTGGTTTTGAAAAACTTTGATTTTTAGAAAATTGCTTTGAGATGAAATTTAGAGGATACCAAATAAAGAGACCTTCCCCAAAGATTTCCCTTTCCCTTCATTCCCTCTTTTATTCCTTTTATTTCCCATCAAATGTGACTCCAAGGCTCACAGAGATACCACCCTCACTGCTCTGGCGCACTGCCTTCATTTGTCCAGGTGGCCAGGAGCCCTGATCTGGCCCAGGTCACTTGGCAGTGCCATGAGTAGAGAGGCTTCCTGTTACCTGTGGCTGAGCTCCGGCCAGCGCCGTCAGGTGGCCACTCTGACCCTGTTTATTGCTTCCCCCCCGGGCAGAAATGAGGTGTTTGTGATGACATCCAATTTTAACTCTGTGATCTCTTTTGGGACTCTGTAGGGGCAACTTTCTACTTTTCTTATCTCTTCCCTTTTCCTTCCTTTCTCCCTTCCTTCCTCCCTCCCTCCCTTCCTTCCTTCCTTCCTTCCTTCCTTCCTTCCTTCCTTCCTTCCTTCCTCCCTTCCTCCTCTTTTCTTTCCTAATATAAACAGAAAACAGATCAACAAGATTGCTGAACCAAGGGATAGAGTCACAGGATTTTGCTAATATTAAATTAGCTTCCTTGCTCCCAACTTGTAGCTTAATAAAGGACACAAATCTAGGAATATCTTGCTTTAGAACAAAAGAATAATAAAACAATAGGCCCAGTCTATTTCATCTGCTTCTCATAAGAAGAGGAAAATGTGGCCCAGAAGTGTAGGGGTCTC